GGGGGAGGGGGGTGTATTGGAGTGTGTGAATGTGTCAGTGTATGTGTGTGCATGTGTGTATTCATGCATACTTGGGTGTGCTTGAGTGTATGTGTAGGCCTGCGCCGTGTGTGTGTGTGTGTGTGTGTGTGTGTGTGTGTGTACGTGTGTGTGTGTGTGTGTATGAGCTGAATATATACGAATGTGGTCAGTTATGCATATATTTATATATTCTGGTACTCACATAAAGTTTCATGTCTTCCTTCAAGTTTGTTTATTTTTTAAAAGATCTTTATTATAGAGACAGTCAAATAACTTTGGAGAGGGAGGGAGGGGGGGAATCCCTTTAAATCTTATTGATCTGATGCCGTATGTAATAATAGTAATAATAATAATAGATTGCATTTATATAGCGCTCTATCCCATGCAAGTATAAACTGTGAGCGTTTTACATCAATCACATGATCACTGAACAATTCACACCAGATAAAATATTTCACAGTAACAAGAAAAACCAGTTCAGCCACATAAAAAAAAACTTTCACAACCCTACTTTACTTATATGTAAGGAGAGCAGTAAACACAAAATGTATTCAAGATGATTGTCTTGATAGTCGAAGCAGACTTTGTGCTATTGAGGCTAGAGAGGTGAGCAGAGTAAGCTTGATTCCCTGTTTGAACTTCTGTGTTGACATCCACCCCCTGGTCCTCATATGACCTTATGCGATTGCAAGCGCCATAAAACCTTACTAAAACTAAACAAGATGATTTATCCAAGATGAATTTATCCAAGATCTTTGGTGATTTGCCCAAGATGATTTTATCCAAGATCTGTGATAATTTATCCAAGATGATTTTATCCAAATTCTATGGCGATTTATCCAAGATGATTTATCCAAGATCTGTGATGATTTATCCAAGATCTATGGCGATTTATCCAAGATCTATGGCGATTTATCCAAGATGATTTATCCAAGATCTGTGGTGATCGTTCCATGATGTGTAGTAAGGCTGTTGTCTCCCGACCCCCAGGTGAAGTTCTCTGTGATGAGCCCGGGCATCCACGTCTGGCCCCACGTGGGCCCCACCAACTGCCGGCTGCGCTCCCACCTGGGGCTGGTGGTGCCCGAGGGACCGTTCCTGCGTGTGGTCAACGAGACCAGGTAAACAACCTTGTATGACCTTGTCGTTATAATAATGTGAAGCTTGTAGTTATAATAATGTGAACCATGTAGATATAATAATGTGAACCATGTAGATATGATAATGTGAAGCATGTAGTTATAATAATGAGAAATATGTAGTCATAATAATGTGAAGCATGTAGTTATAATAATGTGAAGCATGTAGTTATAATAATGTGAACCATGTAGATATAATAATGTGAAACATGTAGTTATAATAATGTGAAACATGTAGTTATAATAATGTGAAGCATGTTAAAATAATCGCTGGTGGTTCAACACGCTTGGCTCTAATGACTCATTGATTCTTTGTCCATCTCAGGGTGTGGAAGGAAGGCAAGGTCATGATCTTCGACGACTCGTTTGAGCACGAAGTGTGGCATGAGGGTTCGGAACTGCGTCTGATTCTCATCGTTGACTTCTGGCACCCAGAGCTGACGGAGACGCAGAAACGAAGGCTGTCGGCCATCTAAAAGTCTGGCCGGTGTGTCCGGACTGAGCGGCCGACCTACGGCTGGAAGAGCTGCCGCTGTACTGAGGCTAGCAGTTTGTTAACCTTTGTTACTTTCAAAATGAGCTGATGTGCTGTCAGATTATGTTCTCTGAGTGGATGTCAAAGAAAGTTGTGATTTTTTTTAGTAATAGTCCTCATTATTCTATTTTTGTTTATTTGTTTGTTGGTTGTTGGTTTTTTTGGGATAATTTTGCTTTGGGTTGTTTTTTTGAGGGGGAGGGATTTGGTTACCTTTTGATTGGGTCTCTGATTTACTCAACTTGTATTTTCAGATGTCAGATGTAAACCTAATTTATTAATAGAAACGAGGGTCACTTGACATCTTTGTCTCTGAGAAGATTCTGAAATTGTTAAGAAGGATTAAATTTGGTAGCAGGCTTATTAAAAAATCAGAGTCTCATTTAGTTTTTTGGGTCTTACAGATTTCTATGAGGAAGATGTTTCAGCCAGTTTCCTGAAAAATGAGTTAGCTTCGGTCACAGCGTTGACAAGGGGACTCTGTACACTTTAGTTTTCATTTTATTTTTCTCTTATCGGTGAATTGTGAAGATTTTTTGGGGGTTATAATTCATTTAGGTTATGGTACTTTTGACTTTCAGGTTCAGCTCTTGATATTGTTGTTGTGTTTATGTTATTTTATTGTGCAGTTCTGTAGTAAGAAGGTGAGGTAATATTTGTGAAAGATGAAAGCTTTAATCGCATATATTTAAACATGTGAAGACAAAGAGAATGCTCACAACTGTTGTTCGAGGGTGTTGCGTCTAGCGTGTTTGCAATAATATTGATAGTGTCAGGGAGCGCCTTTTTCTTTTTTCCCCCCATTATTTCCACCCGAGGAAGCCAGTACGGTATTTTAAAAATTTGTTTCTTGTTTAATCTCTGAATAACTATTTCTATTAATTGTCTTTTTGTTTACAAAATGGTAAATTTTCAAGTATTTCACAAAATCCCAATGACATCGTAGCAAAGTAGACTAAAACTTTTTGGAGATTTTTTTGTCGGTTGTGGGCTGATGTTTGCTTTATTGTTGAGGGGTGGAAAGAATTCAATTTTTGTTTTGTTTCGGATAGCAGTTATGTGCCGATGTTTACTGTACGGTACTACTGTTAAAGAGCGTGATCAGTTTGATATTTTTGTCTTTGCCACTTTGCTGGTGTTGAGCTGGACTGTTAAGGGAGCGGAGAGTTTGAAACATTTTTGCTCGTCTGTGTCGGTTGTTTGTTGGTGTTTATTGTACTATTGAGGAGCAGGAAGAGCTCAGTTTTGTTGCTCTCTAGAACTGTTTGGAGCAGCACTTTGCAGGGTACTCTAAGAATTCCACAGGTCTTGGTTGTCCGCAATGTTCTCGTTTTACTGATGGAATACTGACTTGCCTTGAGCTCTTGTTGTTAGTGTGTGTTGTTAGACACTGTCCTGTTAGACACTGTTCCACCAATACTGACGACGTTGTGGACGTTGTCTTAAAAATTGATATTGACAGCGTTTTCGATTTCATCATGCTATCTCTATTGACAACATTTTATGATTAAAGTGGCGTAGCTGTTGTGTGTGTTGTCGTTGGATCTGCTGTTCTATTGTTGAGAGCGTGAAGTTGAGATGAGATGGCCTGAACTTGCTTGTTTTGGCGCAAAGATATGGCAGTTTGGATGTCTTACTCTCGGTGGTTGTATGCATCGTGTTGTTTTGTTTTGTTTTTGTTGAATTTTATGGTTGTTTTGTTTACTAGTTTGGTCTATGCATGATGAAGAGGTGCGGACATGTGGGAGGCCTGTGTAGGCTGGATGGTTTGGTTTCTGAAGTGAGAATGTTGTCAGCGGCTTGCTTTTTAACTTTTTAAAACAAGGTATATGTCTATGGTGATCAATGTCCTGAGACACTGTTATTGACCCTTATGTGTTATCATATGGTGTAAGATGTTGCTTTTAGTGAATATGATCAAACTTTTTGAGTAATTTTTTTTCAGATATAAAGGAAAGCGAGTTTTAATTAATTATCCGTTCAAAAGTTTTTTTGTACTGCCAAAGTGACTTTTTTTTTTCAGTGCAAAGAGATATCTGGTTGTGTGAAAGTTCTTTTTGTCATAAAATTTGATAATGTTTGCTTTGACATTTGAATCGAATGATGCAAATGTATTCCTGTGCTGTTATTTTTAGATAGTCTGCACAGACTTTATAGAAGTGATTTGTCGGGTTGGTTGGGCACAGCATTTGTTCCGTTTGTAAGCGCTGTGAGAGTACACTAAATGCTTTAAATGTAATTTGGACATCTTTTTGTTTTGTCTCGCATGACAGTTTTGTTTGGCATGACAGCAGTTCTATTTGTGAGTCTCCGTTTTGATCTTGTTTCCACTTTTGAAGATGGAATAATGAGGCAACATTTTTTTCCAATAATGTTTACATGGCCTCTTTTTTTAAAAAACCGAGATGCAATTTCCTTTCTGCCAAAATTATTTGATCACAGATACTCTTGCTTGCTGTGTGTATTGTTGCATTTACCCGGAACATAACACTTGTTCTGGGCACATTCAGTTGTCCTTTGGTTGCTTTTTTAGGCTTGACGGTCAAGTATGACAGTTTCATATTTATGATGTCACTACGCAAGTTTCCAGAAATGTGGAATATTCTTGATTTATTTTCTTCTTTTTATGAAATTTGGTGGAGGGTTCTTCCTGAGAATGTTCTCTTCGAGTATTTTCACTTCTCTTGAAATGTATTAAGTTTGCGTTTGTCTTTTGTTGGTTTATTCATTCAATGAATATTTGACAGAGAGATTTTTATGTTCTCATTTTGATAAACTTAACTTCTAATCAGTTTGTTTTTTTCCCTTTGTTATGAGCCGGAAAAAATATGCTGCTCTGTGATTCTGATATCTTAATCAACGTAGCCACGATCAATCATTGTTGAAGTTTAAATCTCAAGCTCGATAGAGCGAAATTTCTTTCTTGCTGTTCAACAAAGTGTTTCAAAGTATGTGATATCCCTACACAAAGTATTTGCTGGCGGTTTATTGCCGATAATGCAGTAAAACCCTCCCTTCGGGTGGTGCTCCTAATATAATAAATATTGTTTCTTTTTCCAGAGGATTTTCTGCTTACAAAACATTATTAATCAGTCAGTGAACTGAATGTCCATCATTCAATAAATTATGAAAGCTGGAAATATTTTTTAAAAGCGTGTTCATATTCTATTGCAATCTGTAAAGAGATATCTTCGCAATGCTTGTTGGTTGATTTAGAGCTCGTTAACTGCTTATGAAGACAGCGTTACTGGCGTATTTGCAACCGATTTACTTTTGTGTGAAATAACATCTATTACGGTAGACTCGTTATGTATTTTTAAAAAAATTTCTTTTCATTAAAAAAATTTTTTTTTGTGGGGAGGGGGTGTTTTTAGTGAATGATATTTTGTTCCAGGGCACAGGTTGATAGTTGACAGAAGTCAGATGTGGAGTATCAATATATAAATATATATATGTCAAGGGCAGTGTGCTGTTTTGGGGAATTGCCGTCATTGATGAGCTATCAACTCGTCTGTTTTGGGTCTTCCCATCACCTTCCCTCACACACACACACACACACACACACACATACACACACACACACACACACACACACACACACACAGACCCACACGCACATGCACACCTACACACATAGACATATGTGCTCGCATATACTTATATGCACACATGCGCACGCATGCACAAAGGTATCAGGGCTGCCCTAATCCATCGATTTTTCCGGCAGTTACCGATTTTGGACTTGTTCTACCGCCACACAGATAAACGTGTCAAAACTACCGGATTTGCGACGGGGTCCGTTCTGTAGTGGTTCTTCAAGATGGATTTTCCAGGATTTGACTAGTCTTCTGTCACTGGTCTGATGGCAAATTGAATAGAGGCAATGGAAAGTGCCATTTGCAACCCTCGATAAGCTCGACATTTCCATTTCTTCCCGAGACTTTTGCTCTGCCTGGAGTCCAACTGTAATGTTTTTCCTTTGATAATTTGTGTCTTGAATCCTTTTTAAAATCTGTGAATGCTGAAACCCAAACATGGTTTTGACACTTGATGTTCTAGCCTGTCCACAGGCCCCGATCAGGATTCATTTTGTTTATGGTCAGAGGAAAACTAGTAAAATTTGACTGTCATATCAAAGTCACACAGTGCCCTTAGATGGGTATGCTATTGTCAGAGAAAATGTTTTAATTAATATAGTTTTTATTGGTATGGACTATGGGTTTTGAAGTCAGATTGGGGCAGTCACCCGGTACTCCAATCCACAACCGTTACTGGTTGATAGATAGACGCCTTGAATGCCCCCCCACACATAAGTTGGAAAGTTTTATGGTTGTTATCACGCCACGCTTCACTGTCCACCTTTGTCCTTCACTACAGAACTGCTGAATTATAAATATTGTACAATGTTGTCTTTTTATGAACTCATAAACAACCCTTCCAAGACGTACGGAAAGGCAGGTTAGGTTTCCACCGTTCCCCATTTTCCCCCTCTCATTAACCCTATCCGTACGTCGTATTTTACTATCCATACGAAGTGGGGAACTTTGTGCCACCACTTTCCAAAGAGGAAATCTACTCGTTAATCCGATCCGTACGCTTTGCATAGCAGTCTGTTAAAATGATGAGAATACTGAAAGTTTCAAAGGGATCTTTGTACTAGAAATATTCCAAAATGTGAAGAATACAACCCGGAGGTATAATATGGCCCCTGGACATACGGATAAGGTTAAATTCTCAGAGACGTTAGGTACAAATTTTGTAGAATGTGATGAACAAGGCTCGCGATTTTTAGTTCTGGTTGGCAAGATGAGTAACATAATAATTAATATTATGTCACTGTGGTGTCTAATTTCTTTCAACAAATATAAATGGGGGGAAAAAAGGGATGAACAACAGGACTTGTCATGTGGGCCATGACAGGGTTCATGTTTCTATTGGGTTTTTACCTTAGAATAATTACTGTTTAGGTGAACGGTTCTAGCAGCAGAGATGTTTGTGTTACCTTGTGTTTTGAACGCACACCACGTTGTCTCTCTGTTCCCCGCCGGGGCAGTGCTACTGACTGAAGTGTCTTCAGGTCATTCCCAAAGGGGTGATATTAACTTGTTATTATGCACAGTAGAATTGTAAATGGGCTGATTTATCAATGTCATGCTCATACTGTGCCGAGACAACATGGGTGAACAGCTGCTTTTTGTTTCTTCATCCTTACATTCGTCATTTTTTCCGTTACTTCTTTTGTGTGTTTGGCACTCTCTTGTGAACTACTATTCCAGGGGTGCCTTGATAGTTGAAGCAAACTTTGTGCTGTTGAGGCTAGAGAGGTGAGCAGAGTGAGCCTGATTCCCAGTTTGGACTTCTCTGTAGACGGGGCTCATATGACCTTATGCAGGTGCGAGCGCCGTAAAAACCTTACTAAAGCTAAAACACCACTTTGTCTCTCTGTGTGGATGAGAGTTTTGAATTCCCAGCTGTCCCAGTATGAAGTGAAAGTGTAGTGAGTTTGTGTCAAGTTCCCATCGCTTCTGTACTAATGTGTCATTAGGGAAGATTAAAGTTTTTCAGATGTTCTTTTTCGATCTCTTTTAAGTTATTTCTATTCTCAATTTCATATTCTTTTATACATTCTTTTTTTTCTTAGTTCTCATACCCACTTTGAATGATCTGACCGTATGTATATTTTTAATTCTCTGTGAAATACTTACATGATTGTGAGTAAGTGTACCATTGATTGTAATGTTCAGAATCATAGATGGTTGATGCATTGTCGAGGGAGGAAGGGTTAAGACTTACAACGAATTTTAAGACACAGCGTCTGGAGTTTTTTTCACAGTTCGCATCCACATCGCCGCTCGTTTTACATCCCGAGTTGACGAAATGTAACTTTTCCGAAATGACAGTTTTTGCATCTTGTCAATTCATTCTCTACGCAATATTTTCCTTGGACAAGTGTAATTTTGTTGAAGTTTTTTCAGATAATTGTCTTTTGCAAAATTTCAATAAGAATGTAGTTAGTTGCAGTCTTTTTCTATGCAAGTAATATTCTTCTGGTCATTGCTTGAGGTGATTTTTGAGTAAGTTTATCCTTTTTTACGGTAGTTTTTTTCTATCTGTATTTGTATTTAGTCCAGTGTTTACCTCTATAATCATTTTACCTGATTTCTATCTGGATTGTTTTAAAGTTTTTATTTCAAGACCGCCAATGCTTTTCTCATTAAAATAATGTGTTCCTTCTGGATTTTTCCTCTGTCAGTGTGTCGTGTTAGGGATTGTGGTGTCGGTGATTGTTGGAAAATGTTTGATGTTTGTGTTCTCAATGATTCTGCGGTTCTCTGATGTAGAGGTCTTTGCCTGAATTTGTTCCTTCTTATGTAGACTGAGACCTGTTATTTGTCATTTTTTAAAATAATCAAGGTTTTGGCCATGTCGAGGATATTTCTATTTTTTTTTAGAATTCACTTTCTTGTAAAGAGAGATTAGTAAAAATAAGCAAATTAAGTGAGGACAAGTCTCCTTCCCAGCTCGTATACGATCTAATTGTTTTGCAAGTGTCATAAAACACTTTAATTTTTTTTTAAAGTCGTCTTCTGTCCGGTTTCTCTTCCACTTTGGTTTCTACAGTCGTGGACTAGCTTCTTTAGCACTGGCTTTGTCGTGAGTCTTTGTCTAGTGCTGCTTTACCTGCTCACAGGTGGTACTTGAGATTTTGTTGTTTCCTCTTTTCCCGTATAATTTCATCTTTACCTTCACATTGTAAAGCCTTAACCTGAGCCTGATGTAACAGTTATCAAACGCTTTGCCGCCACGCCACACGCAGAAGACAGTAGTTCAATTCCCATGGAGGAAATTTTTTTTGTTTTCTGCAGTATATATCCTTTCTGTTAGCTGGGATGTTGTATATCTCTCTCAGCCTGGTGTGGCCCTGATAGCTGGGTTGAAGTAAGCCTGCCTCTTAAATAATCTAAATTATAGCATAGAGTAGATGGAGCATGAAATAGTTACAATTACAGACTTAACAACTACAAAGCCTTTGCTTACTTCTGACATCACCGTCATGATCATCATCTACCCTTGATTGATGTATGTCACTCATGATACGTATATATTATCCTCACGTATATATACCCGGCCTGCCTGCCCATACCCAGTGTCTTGTTCATGACTACAGATTTACTTGTTCTTTGTTTGAGATTTGTGAAAAGCGATACAATCAATCATACTTTGGATGCCATACTTTGCTGTTACAGTCATCATAGTTTATATGACAAGCTGTAACAGTTCTTTACTATTTCCTTTTCAACATTTTCTACAAATAATGGATTTTTAAAATTATTTGAGAAATTATAAAAATACAGATAGCTATTTCTTCCATATGCCCCCCACCCCCCTTTCCATCTCCCCCTCCTCTTTCTACAACTCTCAAGAAAGAACATGCTGACGCCTTTCATACCTTTAATTTATTAACAATGATCAAGTTCAAAATCAAATACTCTGCCAGAACAATTCATCAAGTATAAGAAATAATTCAAATCAATACCCCCATACTTATTGCTGTAAACTTGTGATTTCATGGTTATTTTATCACTGTGTAATACAATATTGTAAACTAAGATTTGCATTTATCTTATTTTCGCTTTTATTTTTTTGTAAAAACAATACATAAGAGTCTAATTATACAATATAATAAAATCAAATACAATGTATATCGATGTTAGTGATATTTGCTTGTCCCAAAGTATATGAAAAGTTTGTCTTTTCACCTGAATAAGTTTGCTTTGTCTCTGCCATATGTTGTCGTCATGTGACATACATACCCATATGTTGTCGTCATGTGACATACATAGCCATATGTTGTCGTCATGTGACATACATACCCATATGTTGTTGTCATGTGACATTCATACCCATATGTTGTTGTCATGTGACATATGTTTTTGTCATGTGACATACATACCCATATGTTGTCATGTGACATAAATACACATATTATGTTGTCGTCATGTGACATTCATACCCATATGTTGTTGTCATGTGACATATATGTTTTTGTCATGTGACATACATACCCATATGTTGTCATGTGACATACATACCCATAAGTTGTTGTCATGTGACATACATACTCATATGTTGTTGTCAT